TGTACATTGCCCTGCTTTAGGTATTTTTGAGTAGTTCCTCAGGGATTATTATGGCTGAAACACAGGTTTCTTTCCCCCATTGTGAGATTAATTGTGAGAGTAATATTCGATTGTTCTTGATTTCCTGGTTGTTTTCCTGATTCCTCTCAATACTATTCTTTTTTGTCTTGTTCCTAGGTATCTTTTTTGACTTGTGTCTCAGGGACAAACTGTGGGAGGTCTATTCTTGTTCTTGATTGTCTCTGAAATACTATATTTTTGTTTGTTTTTTTGGGTACCTGGATCTTGTTTTCTCAAGATATGTGTGGGGTGTTTATTCTTATGGTGTCATGTTGTTTTGTCCTTTACTGCTGCTGGAACGCTGGAATTTCCCCACTGTGGAATCAATAAAGTTCTACCTACCTACCTACCTGTTGAAATAGGCATTTTGTGTCTAAATTGATGGAGTTAAGTTTGCTAACATTAGCCACTTTAAAATACCTGTTATACCAGACCAGAAGCAAGAGCCCTGAGCGTCTTAATTAAAAAGGGGTGGATTTTATTGCTTATGAATTCAACTTTTTATTTGTAAGATAAAGACTGCTTCATCTCTTTTCTTTTTAAAAGCACAGGCTTGCTCTAAATTACAAGTAGAACTGAGCATAGTTTTCAACAGTACTGCTTACTCACCTCCTGGGAAGCCGTCCCAAATCTCCAGTCTGTCATAACGGCAAAACACACCAGTGGGAGGCGTTTGGTCTGGTTCTAGCTCAAAACTCTCGAACTCCAAAATGATCTCTGACATCTTTGGGGCAAATATCATGAAAGTGCAATCCAGATTGTTGGGGTACTTCTCTGGGAAACCAGGTGACTTTATAACACCGCTGCTGGATGTGAAGTTCTTGGAGCACTCGGGACCTGCATGCAGGAAGGATGAAGAAAGAAAATGCAATATGGGAAGTGAGAAGACAAAACAGGGGCAAAGGATGAGGTGGGGTGGATTCTTTTGAATAGCTCTTGGTTTAGCTGGTTTACTGAGTGAAGGACCACCTTAATGGCTTCTTCTGTTCGCACAGAGGCTACATCTGCATTTCAGCTCCACTCACTGTGGTCGTGTCATTTTTCACTTCAATTATCACAGAAGTCACAGTCCTTCATTGTTGTGTGTGAATGTGTAACTCCTGGAACATCTGGACTGTGAGTGTAAACATTAGTGGTTTAAATTACCAGAATTGGATAAACAGCGTGATTCATGTTGCAAAAACCTCTCTCACTCATATACACACCTTCATCAGGACAAATCTGTGAAATATACGAGGCTAAATTACAGTGTCAGTAATAGTAGGCGAGAGTAACAACTGCACATACATCTCACACACTTAAGCACATTTTCGCACAATGGAAAATCAAAATATTTATTCACATCTCTCTGGAGAGCTGCCTGAACATTTACACATCTCCCACGTTAGCTACGTCTAAGAGCATCACAATATTTTCATTTAACAGTGCGTGACACATGATCAAAAATCTTTCTAGTAGCTGTAGTAAGGAGCCAAATGGTCAGCAAATGCTTTGTTATTTAGAAAAACAGAAGATGAAAAGTAAAAAAATGAATATGAAAGCTAAAAAACTGATCTAGAATCCTAAAGAAAAAAGAAACAAAAATCTATGAAAAGTTACTTTTCAGTTCAAACATTATTTAGATTTATTTTTAGGAATTTTAAATATACAGTGCCTTGCGAAAGTATTCGGCCCCCTTGAACTTTGCGACCTTTTGCCACATTTCAGGCTTCAAACATAAAGATATAAAACTGTAATTTTTTGTGAAGAATCAACAACAAGTGGGACACAATCATGAAGTGGAACGAAATTTATTGGATATTTCAAACGTTTTTAACAAATAAAAAACTGAAAAATTGGGCGTGCAAAATTATTCAGCCCCCTTAAGTTAATACTTTGTAGCGCCACCTTTTGCTGCGATTACAGCTGTAAGTCGCTTGGGGTATGTCTCTATCAGTTTTGCACATCGAGAGACGGAAATTTTTGCCCATTCCTCCTTGCAAAACAGCTCGAGCTCAGTGAGATTGGATGGAGAGCGTTTGTGAACAGCAGTTGTCAGTTCTTTCCACAGATTCTCGATTGGATTCAGGTCTGGACTTTGACATAGCCATTCTAACACCTGGATATGTTTAGTTGTGAACCATTCCATTGTAGATTTTGCTTTATGTTTTGGATCAGTGTCTTGTTGGAAGACAAATCTCCGTCCCAGTCTCAGGTCTTTTGCAGACTCCATCAGGTTTCCTTCCAGAATGGTCCTGTATTGGGCTCCATCCATCTTCCCATCAATTTTAACCATCTTCCCTGTCCCTGCTGAAGAAAAGCAGGCCCAAACCATGATGCTGCCACCACCATGTTTGACAGTGGGGATGGTGTGTTCAGGGTGATGAGCTGTGTTGCTTTTACGCCAAACATAACGTTTTGCATTGTTGCCAAAAAGTTCGATTTTGGTTTCATCTGACCAGAGCACCTTCTTCCACATGTTTGGTGTGTCTCCCAGGTGGCTTGTGGCAAACTTTAAACGACACTTTTTATGGATATCTTTAAGAAATGGCTTTCTTCTTGCCACTCTTCCATAAAGGCCAGATTTGTGCAGTATACGACTGATTGTTGTCCTATGGACAGAGTCTCCCACCTCAGCTGTAGATCTCTGCAGTTCATCCAGAGTGATCATGGGCCTCTTGGCTGCATCTCTGATCAGTCTTCTCCTTGTATGAGCTGAAAGTTTAGAGGGACGGCCAGGTCTTGGTAGATTTGCAGTGGTCTGATACTCCTTCCATTTCAATATTATCGCTTGCACAGTGCTCCTTGGGATGTTTAAAGCTTGGGAAATCTTTTTGTATCCAAATCCGGCTTTAAACTTCTCCACAACAGTATCTCGGACCTGCCTGGTGTGTTCCTTGTTCTTCATGATGCTCTCTGCGCTTTAAACGGACCTCTGAGACTATCACAGTGCAGGTGCATTTATACGGAGACTTGATTACACACAGGTGGATTCTATTTATCATCATTAGTCATTTAGGTCAACATTGGATCATTCAGAGATCCTCACTGAACTTCTGGAGAGAGTTTGCTGCACTGAAAGTAAAGGGGCTGAATAATTTTGCACGCCCAATTATTCAGTTTTTTATTTGTTAAAAAAGTTTGAAATATCCAATAAATTTCATTCCACTTCATGATTGTGTCCCACTTGTTGTTGATTCTTCACAAAAAATTACAGTTTTATATCTTTATGTTTGAAGCCTGAAATGTGGCAAAAGGTCGCAAAGTTCAAGGGGGCCGAATACTTTCGCAAGGCACTGTATAAAGCACTTGAACACAGCCGAGGCCAACAAAGTGCTTAACATAAGATACAATTCAAAACATCTAAAAACGTGACAACTACAATATTAAAATACCAATAAAATAACATAAAAGAACCAACATAGCAAAATAACATATATTTCTTTTTTTTTTTTTGTTTCAGATTTTTGGCCCTCCTCATGCATATGGGCTAGCATTACCAGAAAAAGTGGAATTGGGAGTAGACTGTGGGGAAAGAAGTCTGTTTTCCCATTCTTCAATATGAATACTGTCTTTTTTTCACACTAACTGGACTCTGATTCTATGTCCATACTTTTATTAGACTTTGTGCAGCCAAAACCACTACTGAGTTATAATCATAATTCCAGCAAAAACTGATATTAACAGGACAATACACACTGCTCTGTTAGACTCAACCTGGCAGAAACATAAGACTTTAGCTGAGCTGAGATTTCTGCCTGGCTGACTTTCTGTTGGTTCCCCGCACACATGAAAGGATTAAAATAAGAATATCCAATGGCTCTTGTAGACTTTTCAAATGATTTTGGCCTTCTTGGACCAAATTCTGATAATAGACATTTTCTGGGGTTTGACATGCTCAGAAAGAGGTATTCACCTTTTTACAGCTGTTATTTTTCCAGCCATTGTCTATGGGAAATTGTCTATGGGTCAGTGTGCAACATGTGATGAAGAAGTTGTAGTAATAGGGTTTGGCGACGATACCAAAATTGCTTCACAGTCCAGCACCATTCCAGAGAACTTGATCTCAACCTTCAGTTACTCAGGAGGCCAAACCAGTCTCAGGTGTTACAAGCCAATATGCCAGCAAAGTCTTAAACTGGGAGCACATGACCTAAAACTAAAAATATTTTGTATCTAACTACCCTTTATAAAATTCTGAGAAAACATTAAATTAGGAAAATCATTTAGGAGAACATACTGTATGTGCATAATATAATAAAGCAACATAAATGACTCATTCATATAAATTCCCAAAATTAACCAAAATTACAGTTCAACTGGAAAATCTGCTTGGTTGAGTTATTATTTATTTCAGGGTTTAAGTTTGATATTTATATTTACAGTTTTGGCTTTCAATTTGACAAAACATTTGGTGACCATTTGGCCCCAGACTGCACTGATGAAAGAGACATGTTCACTGTGCAGACTCAAGCACTCTTGAGTGTTACCAAGCCAGGCTTCATACAAACACACATACTGTACATACAATATGAGGAAAAAGAGGACTACTGTCACCTCAGACAATATTATGGTGGCAGAAATGTGCCCAGGATAATGTCGTTTTCATGCTATTCTGACAGCCTGCGTGATGGCAGCAGATTGGAATGATTTAAACTAAAATTGTAGGGAATTATTGCTAGATAAAGCCTCTCTACTACAGCAAAGGTAGCTTCAATGAACATGGCAAACTGCATTTTTACACTGCCACTCAAGTATCGTGCAGAATTCTAATTCAAAACTATCAGGCCTACTTCAGCTTGTCCACCAGTGGAGTGAGTAAAGGGAGTGTCAGCCATGTTGATTCTCTTTCTCCCCAAGTTAAAAGCCACAGTGAGCAGCGTTTTGACTCTAAAGAGGGCTGACATTTAGTGCAGCAGCTGAAGTGTGGCTTTTGAGAAGAGTGGGCACCATTAATTTCACAGCTTCTCCACATATTTACCCCTGGAAAATAGAGAGATTTTGTCGAGAGAGAGTGGGATGCACTTTACCCCACCACTTTTGATAGAAACATCAGCCAATTTTGGGGGGAAAACTATGGATTGAAAATGGCACCCATGGTCTCTGAGTGCTCCAGATAGCTGCAGTAGCCAAAGTGCAGTTCAGGTCAGTGTGTTGAATTTCCTGTGGATATTGGCTCAGAACTCCAGACTCCATCCATTCCATCATCCCCCATCATGACCCTCAGCTCAGCAGTTGAACAGAACTGATTTGGTCTTTGGACATAGTTCACTCCTCAAAAAATTCAAGCACTAGACTGGCACCCACAAGAGCATATTACCAGGTTAGATGCCTTTTTCCAATAATAATCCATCAGTATTAGGTTCAGTATTACAATTTTTGGATATTTTATTTAATAAATCCATTTGTGAAATCAAATTTATTTATATAGCACTTTAAAAACAACATCCAGCTAACCAAAGTACTTTACATGGCAGAATAAAATCACAATTAATGGCTAAAATAGAATAAATAAGATCATGTAAGGTACAGCCAAAAATATGTACAAGTACTTATCCTAAGTCTACTTCACATATCTTACCATCACCATTAGGTCTAAAGAACAAACACCACTGACAGCTTTTGTGTGGCTGGCTTTAATCCCCTCACCTTCAACAAATGCTCAGAGAAAAGGCATCACGATAAAATAGAGTGGCAAGAGGAGACAGAGTGCTCTTGTTGTTCCCACATGTAAAATAATCATCCAACAGATCACTTTTATAGCATCTCTCCATGGGAGGGCTTTCTTCTCTCACTACACCCGGACTATGCTGATGTCTGTGTGAGAGGCATTTAGTGATAGCAGTCACACTTTACTG